AGAGCTGGGCCCTCCTCCACCCTTCCAATTCCTATCAGCCATAGGCGGAAGAGTCACTTTCCCTGTGGGGGCTCCTCACAGCCACTCCTCTCAGAAGCCTGGGGGCTGAGAAGCCCTCTCTATCTAGTCGTGGCACAGGCTGGAAAGTGAGGCTAAGAGCTCCTGTATGGGTTGCTTCCAGCTTTGTGGGAAGCAGGTAAGGCCCAGCTGCAGAGAAAGGTTTCTAAAAACTGAAATACTGGGTGCAAGTCCAAATCCAATCCAAGGAAAAGCGAATTACACTCTCAGAGTGTGGGTGGAAGAAAGCCTTCTCTGGAGAAGGGATGCCCAAGGCCTGGGGGTGGGGGCTGAAGCACAGACAGGCCTGGAGTACATGAGGGCTCTAGAAATGCTGGGACTCACCCCTTCCTGGAGCCCTGGGAAGGCCCAGAGGTCCTGAAAGATGGCTGGAGGCAGGCCCCATGCACAGCTCTTCTACCAGCTGGGCCTTGTCCCACCCCTATGAAGACACAGTTGGGTGGACTTACGGGAGCCCCCTCCCCCAGACATTAGGCGCTCCAGCCTGGCACTTCTGTATTGTGTCGCCCAGGGACATCTGTGCCCCCCACAGGGGTGCCATGAGCATGCCCATCCCTGTAGGAGGGAAGAGGGGAGGAGGCGGTGGGTGCCGTGGAAACCTGGGATCCTGACAATTTGAGGGCTGCCACAGAAATAGCCACCTCAGCTCTCTGAACCACAGTGGCAAGTCAGCCGAGAATATAGCTGGGGTACCCAGGCTAGTTGAACACCTAGCTTGTCATGTCCCAGCCAGGCCTCCCTGTGCTGGTAGCCCCGTGGAGCGGGGTTGGACATGTTGTGAGGAAGGTGGGCTCTCAGGTTCCACTTCAAGGGGAGGGCATGCCAGCATCTTTATCCTCCCCACAGGCTGTCCCATCCCACCACTTGAAGGGACCCATTCCCTTCTGAAGGGCGGTCACACAGATGCCCCTGTGCCATCTCGTCTCAATTCTTATGGGTCACTTCATTCTAAGAGGAAGTGACAGGCAGGCCTCACAGACCATAGCAGGGCTGGGGAATCTAGTGGGATACCTACCGAGCCGACCTTTCTGGCAAGGGCATCCTGTGACTGCTCAGAGCTGATGGGGGCACCGAAATGGCAATGTTCCTGGTGCAGCTTTCCACCACACCTTAACGCCAGGAAATAACCTGATCTTTTGTCCAGGTCACCTTTTGGAGTGGCCCCCAGATTAACTAGCCTCCTGCCAGGGCCCTAAAAGCTGTCTTGCCATGTCTATCTTTGCCACCCTGGAGAAAGCAGATATGGACCTTCCTTAGTCATTCCCGCCACAAAGTTGCATAATCTGTCTCTAAAAATTGCCAGGCGTACAGCTCTGCTGTCAGGTCGAATTCCCATCAGGTGAAACAGGAAATGTCTCGGCTGAGGCCTTGGCTCCTGGGTCTGGGTGGAGGAGAGCCTGCTGGGGAAGGGCTGGCTGGCAGGTGTGGGCCTCCCTGGGAGCAGCAGGAGCAGGTGCGGGCAGGGTGGTTCTGTCTCCTCACTTCCCCTCAGTTGTCCCTGCGCAAGGTGTACCCCTGTTCACCCAATGACTCACAAACCTGTTGTGCTCCCGGGCTCGTTAGGTAAATGAACACACTTAATTATAGAAATTAGATGAGTCTCTGGTTCTGGCAGGAATACAGAACACAGAGGCTGGGTGGGAGTGGCAGGTGACTCAGAGGCAGGGCTGGGAGTCTGAGGGAGCTTGAAAGGGAGGAACACTATCGCGGAAGCAGAGGAAGCAGTGTGAGAGAGATGGTGCAGTGCGGGTCGCAGATGGGAGGCTGGGCACCGCCAATGGGTGTCACCCACTCAGTTTGGGCACAGGTGACCAGAGAGGAGGGCCTCTTGCACCTCAGCAGCCACCCATGGCCTACACCAAGCCTGGGGCTTTAATTCTAGGAGCTCCCACCTGCACCCCAGGCTAGAAGTGGAAAACATCAGGCCCCTTCTCCCAGGGTATCACTGCCTGTAGACACTGCTCTTTTGAGGAGTCAAAGCCCCTTTATGGCAGCAGACATGCCCCACACAACAGCCTTGTTCCTCACTGATCTTGTGAGCAATGGAGAGACAAACAGACAGACAGGCTGTTTGGTTACTGGTTAAAGGCCACTAGGAATGGAAATGCATTTGCTGTGATTGAAAATATTAACATAGGCATGGGTACCCAGCAAGGCTGACAAGTCCCAAGAGCATGGTGTACCACCCCTGGCCCTGGGATCCTGAAGGGAGGCAGGGCATGGGTGTGCCAGCTCCTATGGCTCAGAAGACACTGAGGGGGAGGAGCCCTGGGAGTAATCCCTCCTCTCTCTGCACTCAGGGTTCAAAGCTGAATGTCATGAGAAGCACCCAGCTCTCCTCCAGCTTGACCCTTGTCTCCTTCCCTCTGCTCCCTCAGGCCCCAGGTGGGAAGGGGGCTGGGAGGGCAGGTGATGCGCCTGCGGTGTGCGTTCCTGTGCCCAGAGGTAAGGAAAGCCAAGAGTGTGGCTAAGGGGCTGAGGGGCCAGGTGGGGGGCTGGTGAGAGGATGGAAGGGATGGGACAGCAGGAGCTTTCTCGGAGAATAGGGTGAGCTGTACCGCGATGCCAGTGGAGACAGCCCCAGACTGGTTCCAGCTGCTCCGGCTATGTTGTTTAGGCTCCGGGACTTTGCACAGCCTTGGTGAAGAAAAGGCACACGGGTCAGAGGGGCATAGCTCACCAGGGCAGCTCCATGGAATCCATGCTCCAAGATGGCCCTGGGCTAGGGCAGATGGGTCTGTCCCTCCTGGGAGAGGATCTGACTCTCCCAGGCCTTTGTGTCTCTGGGTTCCTGAGGACAGACTCCTGGACCCCACACCTAGCTGACCTTTGTTCTGCCTATCTCCAGATAAGTTCCCTTCACACTCCTGATAACCCAGCTACATAAAGACCCTGCAGCCTACAGCAACCACCTTCTCTACCCTAAGAAGCCCCAACGAGCACCTGCCACATTCATCCAGGGAGCTGACAGTGACACACAGGCAGCTACAGGCCAATGATGGGGTCTGTGTGAATGGCTGGAGGAGGCCCAGATCCACTCATTCCTGGTCCTAAATGTAGCTTAGTGCAGAGAGGTGCGGCATGGTACCGCGTGGGGAAAGTTGAATGCGCGCTGGGAGTTTGGTGATGTTAATTGCCATGCTTGCTTAGCAGGGCCTGTTTCCCAGCAACCCACCTGTTCCCTCTCGAAGGTCACTCTAATTGGCAGAGCTACATGCTTGTTGCCAAGAAGCAGTGTGGAGGCATCTTGAAAATAGAGCATCTGGGCCCCACAGGCACCCCAGAGAAATAGGATGGGGGGACACGGGCTTCCCTACCCCCTGCATGTATACATGTACCCCTTTTTGTAGGTGCAGCTGGCTCCAGTACCTCAGGCCCCTCCTTACTTGGCCCTCACAGCCTCTTCTACATTTCTGCTTCCATTGAGCTCCTCACAGCACAGGGAGGGAAACAAAGGTGCCTGACACTCAGCTGTCTCTGCTCAAGTCACCACACATTCTACGGCTGTCTGCTTATCAGGCTTCAGCTAGAGAAAGAGTCTGGGTATATGAATGAGGATGCAGTGGAGCCCCTGCATGTTTGAGGTAGGAGTCAGGAGAGAAGCGCATGTTCCGAGCCTGAGACTAGGACACCAGGGTGACAGGTGTACAAGCTCCGAGCACACTCTATCTGCAACCACTTAGCTAAGGCCTCCAGGCCATCTCCTTCCAGGTGGCAGACTGCTGCTGCTGCTTCTGCCACCTAAGACACATGTCCACTGTCAGGGCCTGACAGTCAAGGTGGCCTGGGGACTGTGTGAGAGCAGTGGTGCTGACTGGGCAGAGAAGGAAGGGTCTGGGAAGGTACCCCAGAGGCCTGCCTGGGTGGGGCAGACAGGGTACATGTTTCGGCAGCCAGAGGCATCACAGGCCATCTTGGCAGCAGCCACTGCCCCCTCCTCACCTAATCCAGTGTGGGCCTGCAGTTTGAGGGAGAGTAGGAAGTAGGGAGTAGAAAATCAGACTGGCTAAAAAGTGGCCAAAGAACTTGGGGAGAAGCTTTGTTTGTGGGGGGAGTCCTGGAACTTGGTAAATTTTTAGGGAGCTTAGGTCACAGGGATAGGAAAAACAAAAAGTGATTGGAAACTGGGCAGGAACAGTGTGTGGTCTCAGCCACCACTGGCCCTCACCTACTCCTGATCACTTGTGCTCCCCTTTCCCAGGGCCTGAACCCCTAGCACCACAGCCCCACTTCCACCCTGCTCTGGTCGTGGGCTTGCAGCCTGGTGGTGGAATTCTAGCCTTCAGGGATAGCAGGGAATGAGCTGCTCCTGTTAACTCTCCAAATCCGTCAGAACACTCCTAAGATGGGACCCACTGCCTGTTCACCCCAGTCCCTGGACACCTCAGGCTCTCCTTTGAGAGGACTGTCACACCCAAGCTTGCAGATCTGGGTCAGCCTACCCTGGTTCCAGGCTCCACATGAAGGATGGGAGGAATAGGACCCATGTGGGGCTCTCTGAAGGCCTGGCATCTGACTCCTGACGGCCGTGGTAATCTCTGGGGACAACCTGGAAAAGCGTCAGCTAAGTTCAAGGGAGTCCTGAGGAAAGGCTGGCAGGGACTTGTGGCCTGGGCCTGAAGGCAGCAACAGGACCCAGAAGCAGAGAAAGTACTAAAAATGGGGAGGAAAGGCTAAGCCCCTGACCCAGTGCCCCTCAACTCTCTAGCACTGTTTTTCTTCGGAGGATTCTGTGGACCCTTTGGGAAGCTGAACGCCTTTCTGATTCAGAGACTGGAAGACCTAGAAGTGGGGAATGCATCCAAGGCAGAGGAGATGGTGGCCATGGGCTCAGGAGTGGAGGGGACCTCAAGCTCTGTGGGGAGGGCTGGAGAGACTCAGCTCTCTGGGGGCCCCCACCTGCCCAGCCCGGGAAGCCATACCTTTCCGGACACTGCCATCCGCACAGACATAGTCCCCAGCACTGAGCAGGAAACAGGCAGCCGCCTTCTTGTTTCTGTCTCTCGTGCCAGAGCGTCGCAAGGCCCGGCGCTCCTCAGGGGTGGGGGCAGAGGCCAGGGGCTGGGTGAGTCCAGCTCCCTCCTCGTCAGACAGCACCACATTGGCCTCTCCGTTCTGCTTAGAGTCTGAAGGGGGCAGACAGAAAGGAGGCTGAGAGGGGCTGCCTCTGGGTCCCTCTTGGGGCTACCTGAGGGCTCAGATCCCAGACCCCAACCTGAGGAAGCTCCTCATATCACTGGGAGGGAAGTGATACTAGTGGCCAGGGCCAAGGACTGGATGCTGTATTGTCTGAAGGTGGCTTCCCTCCCAGCCTCGGCCTAGTCTTCCCTGGGGGCTGGAGCATAGCACAGATACCCTACAACAGGATCCCCTAGCTCTGCCTTCTGAGGCTGCCCCATGAGATCAGCCCAGGCTGGCAGCAGACTCTGCTTCCCTCTTGGGTCTGGCTCAGGCTGGCCTTTCAATGAGTTTGCATTCCTGCGGAGAATTTCCTGGCTGGCTGGCGTGAGGGGTGGCACCATGAGAGTTGAACCTACACAGTGGTGTTCACTGCTCTCTCCCTCCACCACTTATGTAAGTTATTCTTATTCACAGGCACAGAGGCTGGAGGCCAGTGCCCAGACTTGAGCCCTCTGCTTGCTGGGCTCTCTTGCGTCTGGGGAGGACTCTGTGCAGAAGAAGCTCTAATTCCTCTCCACTGCGGTTGCTCTGAGCCCAGCCCCTTGCCTTGGTCAGGCAGCACAGGAGACCTGAGCAAGAGGGGCTACCCAGTCTGAAGACAGTGGCCTGGGCACTGCCACGCAAGCCCTTATGGTGGCACAGCACTCAGAGCAGGCTATAGGCATGGCTGACAAGGCCAGCTAAGGACCGTTACATTTGGAGAGAAGGATTCTGAGTCCTTAGCAAGCCTCAGAGGGCAGCTGAAATCCCCCAGGAGACGTAAGTTCAGGCATGAGAAGAGGCACCCTATGGTAGGGAGAAGAGAACACCCTGAGGGTGCTGTTCTAACAGGTCTTCTATCAAGGAAGACCAAGACCTCTGAAGACCCCAGGGAGTGGGTGGCCCAGGTGTGTTCGGTGGGCACATGCCACAGGGCCAGAGGTGGGTGCTCTGACTTGGGTTCCTCCTCTGAAGAACTAGTCCCATTTTGTCCTGCCTCAATTTCCTAGGCAGCCCAGCTCCCTGGGGACCTGGCAACCACCAGCCCTCCCTTCCAAGCATCCCACCCTCCCCAGGAGCCCATCCCATCCTAACAGCTGGTGACTTCCCTGCCCTCTGGCCTAGCTCTGGGCTGCTGGCCATTAGGCCACCCTCCCTCCCTGTCTCCTGACCCAGGTGAGTACACTTTTTTGGGCTGGCCTCTCCAGTCCCTGAAGGACAGAACTTGATGCCCAAGTCTCCCTTCCAGGATGTGGGCACCAGTCTCTTGCACTTCCAGCCCCTCCCTGCTTGGTTCCCTTCCATCTCATGTCAAACCCTGAGCCCAGGACTCAAGTCTAGCTTGTGCTGAACAGAAGGCAGCCTCCCACTGCTGTTACGTTATCGCATTTTTTAGGCCAAGAGACACCAGAATCGAACATTGGGAAAGAAGTGATTCATGTGTTGATGCACCTTGGAAGAACAGCTGCCCTGCTCTCTGGCTAATAATGACAGCGTCTGACATTAGCAAAGTGGTTGTAGCTTCTCAAAGTGTTTTCATATTTATCATTCATTTGGGTCTCATCAGCATTTTGGGGATACGATATTGACATATCATTCCTATTTTACAGGTGAGAAATTCACCCCCAGAGAAGGTGAGGGACTGGCCTCAGGGCACACAGCACAATGGCCAAGAGGGAATAGAAACTAAAGCTTCGATCCCACAGCCCCATGGACTGCCCATTGCAGCTTACAGTGCATAGAAGACTCACTCCACAGACCATGAATGTCAGAGAATAGAGAAATTCAACCTTTGGTATTTTGCCCTCATAAAAGCACATCCATATTTTGGGAAGCCAGCACATTAAAGCACAGCCCTAAATTCCACGGGCTGAGGTTTACCTTGGAATCCCTCAGCCACGGTGGGAAAGAGATCTGTCCTCCTCTCCAAGCCCTACTCACCTGCCCGTTTCCTCTCAACCATACCCTCTTCCCGGGCAGGGGGGCTGGTATCACTGTAGGTGCTGTCCCGGGGAGAGGTCTCCTCAGACTTGCAGTATAGGGGTGACTCAAGCTGCGCTGGTCGAGGCACGTGCTTCTTCCGTTTCTTGGGCAGCTTCTGCTTGGCCATGGCCAGGGAGTAGTACATGCCGAAGTTGTTGACAATGACTGGCACAGGCATGGCGATGGTGAGCACCCCGGCCAGCGCACACAGCGCCCCCACTAGCATGCCCGACCATGTCTTGGGGTACATGTCCCCGTACCCCAGTGTTGTCATGGTGACCACAGCCCACCAGAAGCCGATGGGGATATTCTTGAAGTCGGTGTGGTCATTGCCCCGTGGGTCGGAGGGTCTGGCACCGATGCGCTCAGCATAGTAGATCATGGTGGCAAAGATCAGCACACCTAGGGCCAGGAAGATGATGAGCAGCAGGAACTCATTGGTGCTGGCGCGCAGAGTGTGACCCAGCACCCGGAGGCCCACGAAGTGTCGCGTGAGCTTGAAGATCCGCAGGATACGGACGAAGCGCACCACGCGCAGGAAGCCTAGCACATCGCGGGCCGCCTTGGATGACAGGCCGCTCAACCCGACCTCCAGGTAGAAGGGAAGGATAGCTACAAAGTCAATGATGTTGAGCAGATTCTTGACAAAGTCCAGGGTGTCTGGACAGCAAACAATTCGCACCAGGAATTCCAGTGTGAACCACAGCACACACACGCCCTCAATGTAGGTCAGAATGGGTTCTGTCTCCACCTCCCGCCGGAAGTGCACGCTGGTGATGTTCCCCACCCGGTGGATCTCTGTCACATTTCGGTCAATGTTGAAGGCCTCATGGGTCTCCAGGCAGAAGGTGGTGATGGAAACCAGGATGAAGAAGAGAGAGGCAAAGGCTACCACCTGTGAATGGAGAGAAATAGGGAATAGCTATCAAGACAGGGATGGATGGACTCCACTGGGGACAGGGACTGTGCTCATGGAGAGTGGGCACACAGGCTACCAGGCAGTCCGTGAGATGAAAGGTGGGATTAAGATAGAGTCTGGGGCTGGAATTCTCTCCTCAGGAGGTCTGTATCGCCCTGCTTAGGTGTTCTAAGATAAAACTAATTTTTGTCATGGTACAGAAACTGTACTTGGCTGGAAGCAACAAGTCAGGAAATGCAGCTGCCTGGCCCTGTCTAACAGCTCTGCCCACTCTGACCCATTACGCTTTAAGGGTTCTCTAATTGTAGTGGGTGAACAAGCCAGCTGCAAATCTTCCTCCAATGTGATTCTCATTCAGGGGGTTTAGGGCAGGGCCTGCAATTCTGCTTTGCTCACAAGCTCACAGGTGAGGCTTTGTCCATAGACCATGGGCTAGAGTGACTAGGCTTTAAAGCAGTGCTCCTCAAAGTTAGGTCCTGCATCAAAAGCATCAAGTCCCCAGAAACTGATTAGAAATGCAAATTTTAGCCCCCACTCAAACCTAACAAGTGAGAAATGTTAGGGGTACAGGGTCCAGCAATCTTGGTAAGATTTCTAGGTAACCCTGATGCACACTAAAGTTTGAGGTCCACTGCTTTTAGGGATGCTCAGAGGTGGGAGGCTGCAAGGACCCTGGATCCCTACTGGCTATGCCTATTAACCCCAGCTCGTCATAACCCACCTCAAGCCAGTCTCAGTCCCTCTCTCCTGCCTCTAATCTCAGGGTGTCCTTGCTGACTACATGGTGAGGAAGTCCCTGAAAGAATACAACATGTACCATGGCAGGAGATAGCTGTCTGCCCAGAACAACCAGGCTTGCCTCATTTCACAAACTATTATTTTCTGGGACAATGGGCTTCAAAGAAAAATGAACTGTACCCATTAGGATCAGGGTGGCAGAAGGTGATTCTGACAGCTGCTGGGATCTCAGCTAGAATGATGACAGCAGCACTCGGCAGAGGAGAGGAATGGTGAGGTCTTAAGTGTCCGATCACTATGAATGGAGGTGTAATAATGTCAATTATGGAGCCTTCATTCATGCCACGCCATCCAGCACCATCAGCATGCCTGCTGCTGGGGTCCAGACTCTAGCTCTTGCTGTTGCCTGTCCAGCTAAGTGGGTGGGCTGGGCTTCCTTCTGGAGCAGAGTGCTGAGCCTAAATAAGTGGTGAGGCAGGCTTGTTGCTCCATGCTCATTTGGCAACCCCAAGCCTGTTCTGTTCTGATTTCCACCTGGTCGTGGACTTGCCCACTCCAATGAGGACTCACTTACCTCTCAGAGAGGTTTTCCTCCAAGGGAGTCTATACTGGCAGAGAAGTGGAGAAAAACCTGTTCTTTGCACCGCAAAACACCCATGAAGAACACAGGGGATGCGGGAAAATAAAGCAGAAGCCACACCTCCAGGGCTTCTGGAACAGGAGCAAGTTTTAGGAAGGAACTTGGGCCATGGACACTCATCGGCTGCCTATTCTGTGCCTGGCACTGTTAAGTACTCTATGTGCCACTGCCTTCAACCCTCCCAGGGACTTGAGAGACAAGCTTAATCATCCCATTTTATGAACGAGGAACTGAGAATCAGAAAGGTTACTTATCTTGGGTCACACATCTAGAAGAGTGAAAACCAGATTTGAATTGCTGTTTAACTTGAGAGTCTGTACCTTCTGTTCATATTATCCTGTCTTTACAATACCCCCCCGCCCCCGCCCAGTAGGATCAATTCTCAGGCAGGAATGCCAGCTCTGAATTATTAAGCTTGTTCCCAGTCAGCTCCCTGATCCTATTTCACCCCTGGGGATGTGTCCCCTTTGGGTGTAGGACAAATCTCCCATCAGACAGGACAATGTCCCTCAACTTACACTTCAGCTTGGATGGACTGGTCAGAAATGGCATGGGAAAAAAAGGCTGGAGAGAGGGGTGCCCCTTTCCCTGCTTTACACCTTTGCCTGGAGCTTCCCTATCTGCTTCTCCTGGGAAAGGTAAGTTTCAAGTGCCTTTGCTGGCCTCATTTTCCCTCCCCTGAGAAATGGGCTGCCCAGACAGTACAGGCTAATATGGGCTTTCCATCATCCGGGAGCTGGTAAAAGCACCTGCCTTGGTACCTATGGTGGTCTTGTGCATCCAGGGTCCTGGCTCCATTCCTTAACTGGAGAAGCACAGGGGCCTGGAGTAACGGGGAGGAACAGCACCTCCCAGCTCTACCAGGAAGAATGGGAAGCTGAGCGCTCTCTCTCTCTCCCTGAGGATAGTTAGCCAAGAGAGCTGGCCCACCAGGGAGCACAAGCATGAGGTTAATTAGTGATTTGGAAAAACAAGTTCAGGAAGAGCCGCCAAGGGGCTAAGCACAGGGAGCAGAGAGGGAGGGAGGATGGTGTGGCCTGGGCTACTCTTAACCCCAGGGACAAGGCACCTGCTTCCATCCCCAGCTGCCCTGTCATGGGCTCCTTCTGTAGCAGGCAAAGGCACCCTTCAGGCCCAGGGTACAAACCCCTCCCCCATAGGGAACAACCCCTCACTAATGCTGTCTTCCCTCACTTCTGTTTTTTCCCCCTAAATGCAGACTGTGTGACCCCAAGGTTACAAGTTCCACTTCAAGGCCCAGATTCCTTTCTCTCCTAAATTATTCTCCAAACTTGATTATTTCCTAAGTGGTGGACCTGCTCAAAATTGGGGCTTTTTACAGGCAGGGATGGGACTGGGGGACATGGATGCTGCTTTTTCCCCACCTCCCTTGATTGAGGGCTTCCTAGAACCAAAGGGGACGTGGGAGGAGTTGGCTGCAGCAACTCCACTTGGCAAGGGGCCAGAGCCTCAAGCTCCAGATTTCTGTCCAGTACTATGGGGCCGTGCTGTACACCTGGGGCAGTGTCCAAGCCCCTGCACCACCAGACTGAGGGCAGAGGCGAGCTAGGGAGCCTTGGGCTGAGACTTGCTGGGATAGACTGCCTGGGTTCCGAATCCTAACCCTGCCACTCAACCAGGTAGGCAGTGCTGTGAGAGGGGGAACAGTACTAGTACATACCTTACACCATCACTGTAGGATTAAATGAGCTCCTATACAGCAAGTGCCCAATAAAATGATGACAGTGCTGGGGTGTGCGGGTTTCAGGGGACTCCTGTACACAGCTTCCAAAGGCAAAATATCACAGAATTCTGGCTTTTCTGAAGTAGGAAGGACTCAGAAGTTCATCTGACTCAACACTTTTCTGCTCTTACAGATGAAGAAACTGAGGCCTGGAAGAAGTGATTTGCCCTGATTTTTAGGCTGAAACTGTCAGCTCTTCCCATTGCATGAAGACGTGGGCCAAGGGTTCGGCAATTGCCAAAGCAGAAAACTGCTGGTGTGAACTGGCTCTGCCTGCAGCAGAGTGGAAGGAGGAGGAAACCGGGTCCCAGCACCCTGGACGGAGGATGCAGCTTCCTGCTGGTGCTGTGTTATAAGGCCCAGGTGTTTCAGCTAGTGGGTCAGACCCATTACCAACTGCCTCCCCTAACCCACCCTGACTGTTCTGGTGGAAATGTCAGATCACATACTTACGGGTTCAATTTGGCCCTGTCTATGAGACATTTCATGAGTTTCTTAGCCTCTCCTAGCCCCCTTAGGATCTTCATTTAGAAATGGAAAACTAAGAGCTTACTGGGCCGGGGATTTAGCTCAGTGGTTTCACCGCCTGCTGCTCAAGCACAAGGACCCGAGTTCGATCCCCGGTGCCAAAAAAACCCAAAAAACAAAAAAACTAAGAGCTTACTGTGTACCAGACACTGCGCTGTGGATAGCAGGAAAAACCAAAACACCCCTATCCCTTGGATTTTACATTCTAGTGGAGGGAGACTGTTCACAAATAAGTAAAATACATAGCATGTCAGGTGGCATAAGTGTTATAGAAAAAAAAAGGAGAGAAGAAGTATGAACACGAAGGGACTATTTCAAATAGGGTGATTAGGTTAGACCACAATGACAACAGGAACAGGCAGTGCAAATGCCCCGAGGCTACAATGCACTTGGTATGTTAGAGGGGATGAGAGTAGAACCTACCTTCTATGGTTGTTTTTTGGATTAAAAGAAGTGATACTGTGAAACTCAGAGCCTGGAGAGTCTCAGGAATCTGGCACAGGCTGGACGAGGGGAGAGGTGACCGACAGCAATCATTGGGAACTGAGCATAATCATTAAGGGCAGGAAAGGAGAGCCCAAGGAAAGAAGGCCAGGGAGACAGATGGACAGATAAACAGAAGGAGATTCATGCCCAAAAACCTATATTAAGGATGAAGTGTAGGAGAAGGGAAAATTGAGAACACAGCCAAAGACACTTGGAGAGGAAGATCTGTGGGGTTGGGGGAGGGGCTGAACTTCCCCGGGAAGTGAGACCCTAGTGCCCAGCAGTGCTGGAAAGGTAGTGGAGCATCCGAAGGTAAGAAGCAGGAAAGGGGGTGTCTGCCATGGGAGATGTCCCTGAGCTGTCCCTGGGCGCCCCGGAGGCCTGCACAAAGGCCCAGATCCAGGCTGAGGGATGGCCACCCCATCCCCTCAGAGCTCCCCTAGGAGCAAGCCCGGCCCTGGCCCCTCTTAGCCTGGATCAGGACCCTCTGGCTCCAGTATCTAGTTAGCTTCAATGGCCACCTCTGCCATGTCACACTGGTTTTCTTGACGCCACTGGGCTGCCCAGGAGCCTCCAGTCAATGGAGAGGAACTCCTGGTTACTGCCCATCCAGGGACCATGTGGTCCTACCTCTGCTAGGGCTGGTCTCTCAGCCTAGAAATTCCCCTCTTCCCTACCGCTGCATGGCTTCACGCTACCCACACTGAAATTTTATTTATTTATATATTTATTTATAACGTGTCTCCTTCTAAAAATGATTTAAGGGAGTGAAGTCACTATCCTACAAGGCCCACCCAGCTCAACTATTTTCTTTCCAAACCTCTACTCATCATGTAAGGTAGGACTTATTACTCCCTTCTCTTGCTTCCTGTATTGAACTTTTATTTTTTATGACTTCTGTGGCATCTCTCATGATCTAGTATTATTGTTGTCATTTCTCGTCACCTAATTTCCCTGTCCACCTGACCTGGCTCTCCTCAGGAGCAAAGACGACCTCTGCTCATTTTTAGTATTTCTGGAACCTGGCGTAATTCTGTTACGTAGCGTTCAGAAAATGTTTTCTGAATGACTAGGCCAAAGTGACTGCTGTTCCCACTCTGGGTTCTGGGGAGGCTCTCAGGAGGAGAGATATCAGCCCCACTGACTGGGGCTAGAAGTGACAAAGGTATGCCCAGGAATACCTTCAGGTCAGGCATGGGACCCTAGGACCTCTGCTGCTCTCTTTGGTGGGCTGAGCTCTTGAGGCTCTTTTTTTCTTTTTTTGTATTAAATTCTTTTATTGGTACATTGTAGGTATACAACACAATTACATTTCTCATTGGGAACTGTACCTTTACATAAGGCATCTTGGTTCTTATTTCTTCCCCATTCTCTTGAGGCTCTTGATGGGGCCTCCTCCCAGGAGCTGAGGGACCACTCCTGAGTTTGAAGGATACCCTATCAGCAGACTGGGCCAGGGTCATGGCATACACAAGGAGAGCACAAGTGCTCTGGGGCCCAGCACCCAAGATGTCACTGTCCCTATTAAGGTGAAGGACCCAGGAGGATCCCTGTTGCCAAGGCCTCACTGCCTGCCTCTGCTCCTGCCTGCTCTTTCCATCACTTTCCAAAAGAGCCCAAGTTTATTTTAATCCCTTCCCCCACTCCATACACCAATCCAAATGGTGACAAACATAAACACCTCATCATCCAGAGACAAGATGTTCAGAGGCAAATGTTGGTCTGTTCAGAAGCACACAAAATGAAACTGGGAGAAGATGGGATGCTACCTGCAGCAGGATCTGAAGTGAGGTTGCAGCCTTTGGCCTAGCCCTTCCTGTTCCTCAAAAAAGAGGAGGAAGGGCTGCCTGGGGAGGGCTGGGACTGTCCTCCTAGGCTCAGGCTTTTGTCACCCTATCTCAGAGGGTACAACATCAGTGACTGCTGGCCCTCATTCAAAAGCCTGTCGTAACCACCAAACAGTGGGTCCTGACAATGCCAGAGAAGCTGAGGGATCTTCAGAAGGAAGTGGGTGGGAACAAACCGGAGTTTCTTTGCTAGAAGGCCTTAGTTTTAGTCCTCTGGCTGGTCCAGGGGAAGCCTAGTAATTACTCAGTTTGACTCATGACTCAAGTTTCCTTATCTATAAGTTGAAGTTAATAATCCCTGCCGCACCTAGGCCAGAGGAGACAGTGGAAGAAAGTACAGACCAAGAACCTGCCACACAAGCTCGATGAAGGTAAAAATCCAGCTCCAGGTGCCTTTCTGGAGCAGCACAGAATTTGGGGGTCACCTCCCCCACTCGGAAGGGAAACACTACAGGAAAAACCCAAGCAGAAGTTGTTTCAGTGCAGGGAGAAGAACTATAACCCTTAATAGGGCTGACAGCTCAGCTAAAGCCCAGTTGGGCCCCTGAAACCTCTGGAGACCGAGTTGGCCTAGGGTCAGTATCAGGTCTCGGGGTGCTCTTAGAAAAGTAGGGAAAAATGATTCTATAGCTAGGTGTTTCCAAAGGCCCACTGGTCCCCCTCAGGCTGTGGAACCACCTTGGGAATCCCACACTCTGACCAGGGCAGTGGGCAGGTGGGAACCCGACCAGCCTGCCCTCGTCCTTGTCCCCAGCTCAGGCTACAGATGCAGAACCTCAGCAGCAGCCAGCCACAGGGAAAAGAGCAGGGGTGAGCATACCCAGCTGGAGGCCTGACCAGGAGCAGCTCTGCTGGCCAGGTCAGTAGCTAGGCAACAGGCTCTCCTCATCAGCTCAGTTCACTTTCCATTTGTGTCTGTTTTGCCCATCATGACACACTATTCAAATGACTAGGCTGCTGGGTGTGAAGAGAGAACCCATGGCAGAGCACTGATCCTCTGCCCTCATGTGCCCTTCTAGGTGGCATCCCAAGCCACTGCCCCGAGGTGCTGCAGATCCCTTCCAGGCAGTCATGGCTGAGAGGAAAAGCACGCAGAGAAAAAGCATGCAAAGGCCTTCTCCGGTGGGAAGAGTGCGTCCCAGAACCCCTTGTATGGCACTCAGGGCTGGAGGAGCAACAGAGCAGGTCCCTTCTGAGGTCCTCATCTGCTCTTAGGTTTTCTGATGTCATCCACAGGAGGCAGAGAATCTCAGAACCTCCTCCAGGCCAGAGCAAGAAACTTGCTACCTCTCCATGCTGAAAACAGCCTCTGCCAGTAACTAAAATCTGCTGTAATCACAAGAGCAAGGGGTAGGGAGTCAGGGAGCTCTGGCTTCAATTTAACCAGCCACCCTCTCAATGTGTGATGTCAGACCAGCTGTTTGACTGCCCACAGCCTGGGTCTGTTAAATGGGGGTAACAGCCTTGTTTTAAGTTCACTGGGAGGATTAGAGAGTAAAATATGCACAGCAAAATACTTTTACAGGGTACTCAGTGAATAGCAGTTATTAATTTTTAAGAACTGTGTATCCCCAACAGTATGTCAGGAAGCAGCTGAGGCCTTGTGTTGCCTGTGTTACTTAGCCATAAGCAGGTCATTTGGGATGTGGCGGCCAGGGCTGCAGACTGCTACTCATATCAGTACTGACAACCTGAAGGCTGGTCGCTAGGGGTGGTGTGCTGGCTCTCTTTCTCGTTAAGTGTCTCTGACAAGACATGTAGTGTGCCTGACTCCTGGTTTCTTCATTGCTTAAATGAGAGAATTAACCCTGGCTTCTCCCAAACTTCAGACCTCAGCTGAAAAGGCCAGGCTGAAGGGATTCAGATCAAAAGGGCAAAGGATCTTGGGTCCCTGGAGGATTTCAAGGGGCAAACCAGGCTCTAAGCTTAATTAAAGAAGCCCTGGCTGGGCCATCTTATGCTAAGTTGATGGTAGTCCAGTGGTGGCAAACCTATGGTATACCTGTTCTCTTTTAAAACAAAAGATGTTAATGTACGAGTTACTTTTTCTAAAGTACAACCTCAGTATTTCGGTTTAATTGCATTGTTGGCACTTTGCGATAAGTAAGTGTATCTGGGGTTGAAGTTTAGGGACTTGTCTCTAAAAGGTTTCGCATCACTGGTACTATAGGCCCTTGCAATCCCAGAGGGAAGAACCTGAGCAAATGAAAAGTCCCCAGAGACCCCAGAATGCTCATAAATAGGGCCTATCTTCCTTAACTATCTCCTCTTATACCTCCTCAGTGGTCTGTCCCCCTTTCCCTTCTCTATCAAGCTAAACCTGCCTCCTCCCTGTCCCAAACTTTGGAAGAGCCTGTCTCCTTTAGTGCAGACAGCCAAGAGTCAACACTAGCAGGTTGGTGAACTACATGACAAGCCTATGGACCACACAGCAGACCAAGGCCATGGGCATTACTGTTCTAACACCTTCTGAGCTGGCTTCAGGGTTGGAATGAACAAAACCAAAGCAGCTGGGGTGGGAGAGGACCTGGAAAAAATCTTTACCTTCTAGTGGCTGCCTGCAGCCCCAGCCCAGCATGCCATGGTCCCTGAGACCTCTGTCCCTCTTTTCTTTTCCAGGCAGGAGATGCATCTGCCCAGGTCTGGCATTTACGCCAGCCTAGCCCTTCCCTACAGATCTATTCCCTAATCCTCTACCCTCCCTGGGTGGGGAAATGGAACTATTCCTTCCACAACTAGGATGAGGCCCAGCCCAAGGAGTGTTGGGGGTAGGACAGTCCCTGAATCTCACCAATGTGACAGTTTGGGATGCCAGAGATACTGACCAGCATCCAGAGCAAGAAGCAGTCCTCAGACCCAACAAATCATTCTGCTCTTTCCTCTCTCCCAGACAGACCCCAGCCAGGCTTTAGGCTGTGGTCATGAAATCAGACATCAGCCCCTGGGATTTCCTTTTTTTGTTAAAGAATCTAAGGCCGTCCTTTAGGGTTTATCTGCACAATCATAAAGGGGCCAGTATCTCCTTGACCACCCCCTCCCCACCTATAGGGCTTAAGAGAAACAAAGATATTCAGGGAAAGGTAGTCTGGAGGAACCAGGTGTTGCCTAACTTAACCTGTGCCCCCCACCCCCAACGTGGACAGTAACCTGAACCACAGCTTTCTGAGAAGCCACTTTGTGCTGCAGCAGGAATAAAAGTGGCAACAAATATGGTTTCATCACCAGGAAGCCTTCGGCTGGCCACTGGCCATGGAAGCCCAAAAGGCCTGGAGCAGCAGACCCTTTCTGTCTCTTTCTTCTCTCACCCCAGCTGAGATCAGGCCATCCCAGGGGTGCCAAAGCCTTGGGACATGACCCGCCCCATAAAGAACGCAAGCTCCTCCTCAGCTTGGACCAGAGGCCTGGGTTCTGGTCCAGCCCTGCCTTTCCTGAGCTGAGCATGTTGGAGCCTATCAGCCCCCCACTAAAACACAGTTGCTAGCAAAATGAGCTGCAGGCAGGATTTCAATGGGGTAGCATGCCATGGAAGTATCTAACACAACGCATCCAGTTTGGTTTCCTGCCTCAGTCCAGCAGAAGGCCAAATCCTAGCTCTCCAGGACTGTGGCCCTGAAGAGGAGTGGGGTGCAGCTGAAGGTAGGGCTTGAAAGAGCTGAGCTGAGGGCACTCCACTCACGCGGGAAGGGGGAGGATGCGGCAAAGCAGGCAGCTGGGATTGGGTCCAAGTAGTAAGTCAAGCGTGTGCAATCTCCTGATGGGGTGCGTGCAGGGAAGAGGGTGGGAGTGTGTGATTCCCCCGAGGGCCCTGGAGGGATTAGGAAGAGGAGTCAGGATCAGCCCACGGTGGTAAATCAGTCTCATCTGCTCTTCCCTGCCCTTTGCCCTTAACCACTACTAACATACACACCTCTCAAAAACCCGACAGGAGGAGACCGCGCTCCTGCCACTCACCCTGGCGGCCCGGGAGGAGTAGGGGTCCTCAAAGAGCGCCCACATGCGGGGCTGCCAGCCGCGGCAGCCCCCGGACCCCGAGCCCGGACCGGCGCCTCCCTCGTGGGGGCCCAGGCGTTGCAGGGCTAGCTCCCGCTCATCGTCACCGGCTTCGTCGCTGGGCCCCGCGCCACCGCTGCCCCCGTCTGGGCTCTCAAAGATGTCGAGGGCCTCCTCGGCGTCGCGGTGCTGCCGGTAGGTCATCCAGCAGCACGGCTCCACGTCGGTCTCGTCGATGCCCCAGAAGGTGAGCTCCTCCTCGAAGAGCGGCCCGCACACGTCGGCGGGGCAGTGCAGCTTGCCCGTGCGGTAGTAGTTGAGCACGTAGGCGAAGACGCCAGGGTGCCGATCAAAGAAGAACTCACAACCCCCGCCGCCGCTACTGCCACTGCTGCCCGCGCCACCGCCATCGGACTCGGGCCGGCCCCCGCCGTCAGGATCGGCCAGCCAGGCAAGGCGGGTGCCCGGTAGGGTGCGCAGGGTGCTGCGGTAGGTCTCATGTCGCGTCCCGCCCACGTTGATAATGATCTTCTCCGACGCCTCGCCCTTGGCCATTTCCTCCTTCAGACATGTTTTGGACGGAGGCTTGTTCCCCGACTTGCGCCCGCGGTAGGAGGAAACACACACCGAGCTGATCATAAGAAGCGCTGCAGGGCTCCGGCTTGGGGCGGCCGCTGCCCTCCAAACACCCTTCCAGAGAAGGCAGCGTCAGACAGGGGAGGGGGAGGAGACGGGGAGGAGGCAGGAGGCTGCGGCGGCCCCCTCTGCTGCGCGGCCCTGCCCCTGCCTTCCCCCCCGCCCCCGGGGCGCGAAGCGGGAGGAGTTGGCTTTCTCTGGTGCACAGGTGGTTGCGTTTGGGCAGGCAGTGGAGGGGAGCGAGGCCGGAGAGGGAGAGAAGAGCAGGGGACTCAAGCGAGGGGCCTGGGACGTAGGGGCACGCACCGGCCGGCTCTCCCGCTAGGACAGGGAACGCGGCCGGACGGAGACACGCCCCCCAGCCCCCTAGAAAACGGAGGCGCACAGTCTGGTGCCCAGTGAGGGTCCGGCGCTCGCTCACACTCACGCGGGCCACCCTCCGGCTCCCAGAGCGCGCCGACGCGGGAGCGGCTGGTTTCCCCGCGGTAGCGGCGGCAGCGCAGCAGCAACAAGTCCTCCGAGCGGCTCTCGGGACCGGGCCGACGCTCTCACGGCTGCCGGAGCTCCAAGGGCCAGGGCTGCGTTCGGTCAACACGAGGCGGCGGTGGCATGTGGCCTCTTCCCCCCATTCATAAATCCAGCGCAGGGCACGGAGTGCGGGCGGGGGCTGTGCCGGGCGAGGCAGCGGCAGGAAAACCGGCGCACCGCAGGAGCGAGCCTCGGTCCTGCGTCCACGGGTGGGAGCTGCGCCGGGCTGGGCGCCGCGCTGCGGGGGCCGTACCGGGGCGGGGGGCCTCAGACGGGGCGTCCTGCTCGGCGCCAAGCGCGGGGGAGGGGCGGGCCGCTCCGGGAGCGGAGCTCTAGACGCTGGCGAAGGAGTCCCCGGGCGGCGGCGGAGCGGCCAAGGACACCTGCAGGCTTTCTGGGGCGCGCCGAGCCGGAGCCTCAGCGCAGCGCCCCGGCGCCGGGCTCCTGCGATCTGGCGGCGCCGAGAGCCGCGCCATCTACGCATCTGCCCATCTCCGGGCGGCGGGTGTCGGGCGCGAGGCGGCCTACGTGAGGGGCGCCCGAGCGCCGGCGAGCTGGGGCTCAGAAGGCTCTGCGTCTCCCTCCGGAGATGGCAGCGGACAACACGCTCCGGTGGCGCCTTTTTTTCCGAGCTCCGCCTGGCCTGGCCGCGCCCTCTGCGGGGCGGGGTGGGCGGGGCGTGGCGAGGGGACGACCCCCTACGCTGCAGGGCCCGGACGGACCAGCTCAGCCTTCCTCGGCGCAGCAAAGCCCAGCCGAGGCGCGTAACCCCCTCGCCGCCTGTGCCCAGCCCAGCGCGCCGCCCCTGCGCGCCTCCGCCAGCATCCCCTCCCGGCCCGCACCCCGCCTCCCCTGAGCTCGCGGCTCCTCCCACTGCAGCCCGGGTGACACCCCAGAGCTCTCGACCCCTGACCTCTAACCTCGCTCGTCTCTTCTGGCTGAGTCCCCACCCCACCTCCCTGTCGCGCCAGTCGCGTTGTTGCCGTTTCAATGCGGCGGACTGGAGGTCGAGATGAAAGGGAGTGGAAAGGTGTCTCAAGGAGCAGGCTCCCCTCTCCTGCCCTAGACACCGTGTTGGGGCCTCCGTGTCCCCATCCTTGAGGCCGGTGATCTTCAGGCTATGGCTTCTGTCACAGGTCAGCCCCCATCTTGGAACCGGGTACAGGGCGGCCCAGGGCAGAACAGTGGCTTCTCTCCGTGGGTCTGTGTGGGGGAAGCCGTAGTCCTGCACTGTCCATGGAGAAATGTGTTATGGATGTCGGGTACTTCCCCCAAATGGTTAGCAGGTTAAAGTCTGGCTTACAGGTTCCCTAGAGGGCACTTAGGAAGTGTCAAGTCCTGGACCTATGGTTGTTTGCTCCTTGCAGTTTGGCTTTGCCTGTAGTTCTGTCTGCTCTCGCCTACAAGACCCTGAGCTTCTAGGCTGTGCTTTTTCATCTTGATAGCGCCCACAGTGCCTGCTTCTGAGAACCTGTTTGCTAAGTGATTGAGAAGCTGGCCTACCCAAAACATTAGGGAGCAAGCAGACTTTGCTGGCCCTATCCCAAGAGCAATTTGCAGATTCGTTTGGTTTTGTTTGTGTTTAAGCTCAGAACCTCTACTACATCTTTAATTCATTTTTCTTTTCCCCTTTTCCTCACATTTTCTTTCTTTCTATTCTCTTTTCTTTCTTTCGCTCTTTCTTTCTGTCTTTTTTTTTTTTTTTCAGCTCAAGGCATTCTTCATGTCAGGGTGATACACAGAGGTTTTGAGAGCAGAAATGCAAGGTAATGGACACACCTGCCCTGAACACCTGTGTACTAGCCAGTTTCACCAGATGGGGCAGTACCTAGCTATAGTGAGAAAAACACGGGTTGCATATGCTCCCCAGAAAGGTTAAAAGCCCAGTGCAAATGCGAAAGATTTTCATAAGCAAGTCTCATTAGGTCAGAAAACCAAAATGACAATGATCTTTGATGATCTAATAATATGCATGTATCACTCTGGGCTGTAGTCAGAAACACACATTTGTTGGCACCCTTTTTGTTCCCAATCTCCCACTCCTTGAACCTGGTGCCTACATTTCAGATTTTAACCAACTTTGATTTTGCTGCAGTGGAAAGAAATATCTCAGTGTGACAGGGAAGAGAAGCCCCCAACTGACCAGAGCTGGAGTGCAGAAGGATGAATCACCTAGGGAATAGTAAATTGACTGTAGTGACAGCCTTAAAGTCCTCTCTGGACTGTGCCCTTTCAAGCCCTTCGGTCATTCTGAGAAGAGTGACAAGCTGATGAATTGGAATGGGTGAGGAGAAAGAAAATCCATTACAGCCTCCCGCACCTGATTCATTTGTTCATTCAATAAATATTTATTGAACACCTACTATCTGCCAGAAGCTGTTCCAGGGACCAGACAAACCCATGAATAAAACAGCCCCTCCCCCAGGAAACCTCTGCCTACTCAGTGCATCCATCCCAAAGCGCTGGTGGCTGGTGATGAGCACCTGAGGAGAGGGTGGAGGGAGAATGATGCCAGGGAGAAAGGAAGCCAGGAGGAAGGCAGGGGGGTGGGAAAGCTGGGGTGGGGAAAGGGAAACCCAAGAGGAGCCGAGGAAAGCAGGCAGCCAGGTGAAGGTGCTCTAGGAGGAGGGCCTCTGGCCAGAGGAGCTCAGCCTCAGGTGGTAGGCCTCCAGAGAAGGCCTCACCACTTGCTGAACAGTTTTATTCTAGAGCTCTGCCCTAACCTGTTCCCTGGGCCTTTCTGTGCTTTTCTGGGAGAGGCAGTGTACTACAGTTGGCATTGTAGGGCTTGTCCCCATCACCTCAGTGTGTGTGAAGTCCTGCTGTTCCCCAAAAACACATCCTAGGTGGGAGAGGAGAGCCCCCTGCCTGCCTGAATGCCAACCTACTGTGGGTGGGAGTGTGCTGCCCCCTGGTGGTGACAGAGCAGCCTGGCCCTGGCCCTTCTCTCAGCTCCTGACCCGGAGGGTGAATCGAAATTCCAGCTGGTTGTGGTTTGGCTGGGCAGGAAGGGCAGCTGATCCTGGGCATCCTGTGGATTCCAGAGTCCTACCTAATGCTCCCATCCAGGTCTCTGTCCCCCTTCTCTATTTCTCCAAGGATTTGAAAACGGGCTTAGACAAAATCACAAGCTGCCACAGTTGGAAAATCCTAATTTCCCAAACTTCTTCCCTCCATCTTGCTCTCTTCACCTTCCTTCCCTGAATGCTGAGGCTGATCTTGCCAGTGGGAAGCCGAGAGCCTAAAATCAAAGCCATTTACACTTCATTTTTTTCCATTGGGAGTTTTGTGTGGGCTCAGCCTCTTTGGGGTGATAGGCAGTATCCAATCTGCTCTTCGCCTTCGTTCCTTTGGCCTCACTTGTTTTGAGGAGCTCCAGGTCAAGGAGCAGGCCCCATGTCTGGCAAGACAGGGTCATATCCATTGGTATTTACACCTTCCCTTCTGGTATTCCAGCTCTGCTAGGCCCCAGCCCCTCCTGCAGGTCCAGGCTAAGGACTCAGCATCCTTTCCCAGAATGCCCTTCTCCCTCTCCACCTAATTAATAGAATTATTTTATCAAACATCATCACTGGGCAGGGAGGGAGGGGGAGCTCTTTCCCCTCATAGAGAGAGAAGAGAAGGGTGGGTGAGAGAAGGCTGGGAACCTGTTTGTTCATTACCTCCTTTCATCCTCCACCCACCTCCAGGCAGCCTGCAGAGACTCCCAGACTCCAAATCAAAGGTGAGCACCTTCCCAAGAGAGCTGTGGGGGAACTTAGCCTTAGAGGACAGCCCAGAGAGACCCAGGCCTTGTGGAGGTCAGCTAGAATGGCTCTGGCAAGGGCTGAAGGCAGATTGGATTGCTGTGGAAATCCCACTGAAATTGCACTTGAAGCTCTGGAGAACCTGGAAGACAGCCTCTGCCAGCCTAGCTCTTAAAGGGAAGGGATGAGAAAGGTTCACACCACAAGCCCAGGTCAGATCAGGGGCTGGGGCCTCGTAAACCATGGCGTTGAAGTCAGGGCCAGAAGGAACCTGAGTGCCAGCTCATAGGCACATTCTGGTTGAGGGATTTCGGGCCTAAGCATCAGTGAACCTGAAAGATGGAGCCACTGCTGGGTTTGGGCCAAGGACAGAGAAGAATAGGTGCATGTGCACTGGTGTGTGTGTGTGTGTGTGTGTGTGTGTGTGTGTGTG